TCAAAATTTTCGAGATGTTTTCTACAATCGATCATTTCTAGTAGTAATTCTAGTAAAGGCTAACAAGTTTTATTTCAAGTAACTGGTAATTAGGTTAGATTACTTTATAGAATTAAACGGATGAACGGATAAGAGCAGTTTATTTATAATTAATTCGAATTGTGTAAATAAAATTGTACCACATAAAACTAACTCATAAAAAGTTTCTACCACAGTACATTTGAAACTCATATGAAGTTCTATAAACTTGTTCATTCCCAACACCTTCCTTTTATTTGTCTCGGTAGTTTTGTAGATAATCACCTTTTGACAACTTAAATTATAATTTAATTTACGTATATAATCAAGGTTAACTTTGGGAGTGGTGTAACCAAATAAATAACGTCACAAGAGTACTTGTCTCGTATTCCCTCGGGAATTTATATCAAACGGATTAGGAGTCGGAAAGGTGCCTTTCGAGGCCTAATTGGGTAGGGTCTAAGTCTTTGCGTCGTTTGAACACCCCCGTTAAATGGTTTATAAATTCTATTAAACAGAAGAAAAAAAAAAAAACAAAGACGTACCAGACTGATTGCGACCCTCCGTCCGAGTTCTACCGGACGGCAGGAGTACCCTCATACATACGTTTGTGTAGTTTTCCAAAGGTATACCTTATTTATGTGTCTATTTAGTAGAGATAAATTAGTGTAAGGAAACGGAGCCGGAATAAACGTAAGACGCCCAGACGAAGGCGACTCTCGTAACACAAACGACACACAACTTCCTCACACACATACCACCCCCCCTCGTCCATCTCGTCGTCGATGGAGAACTACTCCCGGTACCTTCGCCAAGGGCTTCGCGGTCCCGAACACAGCCACGTGACATTGCTCGACCTGTCACTAGACGACTCTGACGACGTGTCGGTGCCGGTGGTGCACGTGCCGTAGCATGTACTCGCGCCGCAGGCAGACGTTTGTCTCTCCCCCCCCCCCCCCCTGTCTCGCAGTAAGTGTACCTTGTGTCTCTTAGTCGCCCGTGTCCGGTACCTAGACGAGTCTTAGTCTCTTATAGGTACAAGTACTAACCGTGTTAGTTTCGGAGTGTAATTTTGGGTCCCCGGGCCGAGGTCTCGTGTCTGTCATCTCTCTCTTTTGTAATTTTTATTTCCTCTCTCTCATTTCCGAGGAAGAGTGTTGTCTGTCCTGAAAAGAAGTCTGACAAGTAAAATGTAATATACTAATGTCAATATACGGTAAAGGACCTGTAAATTACATTTATTATGAAAGTTTAACACAATCGACATTAAAACAAGGGAGTCTAAACATAGAAGAGTTCCAGTTGAAAATTCATAAAGAGAAAATCAGGCAAAACAAAAGAGACTCTACAAATACAATACAAAAAAGTAAAAGATGTGAAAATAAAAAAGTGTAAATGCACGTTACGGAAAAATTTGTACGACGACATTTACTTTTATACAGGGTTAAACCCTAGTTATTTCACATATAATAGATTAATAGAATAGAATATATGTACGTTTATAAACGTGTACATATTTTATTATACGTCTCTTATTTCAATTATAATTTATGTACTAGGCAAGGATATGAAAAGGTATGTGTATTTT